TGTATGTGTGTTTTTGAAGGACCGGTACGTTTCACCGATCGCTCAAACGTCCGGTGCGATCGATCACTCTCTCTCTCTCTCTCCATAAAACACATTATAAGATCAGATGTGTTGGTGTTTTTTGTCCATTTCTCGTGGATTAGACTCAACGGCTGTGCCATTAATTTACATAACATGGTGTTTATTGTCGTAATGTTTTACGTTCATTAAAACTGTTATGGTGCAAAAAAAACTATACATTATAACCCCACTCATTGACAAAATATAATACAACCCGGGTCCTAATGAATTGTGTAGTGTATTGTAACTCTACACTACTATATCCGATGCCAATACCGGTGGAGCGTATAATGGATTAGTGTATAGGGATTAGTAGATTCACACAAATGTTACATGCTATCAAATATCATATTTGAATAAATACATGCTTTGTTTGGTGCTTGTGTTAACGCCGACCCCCAGTACTAAGATTATAAACGAATAAATTACTATTAAAACAAATTAATTATCTAATAGTTATTAAAAGTTAAACACATTTTTTACTTTTAACAAAGACTATAAAAACATTAATTTTAATAATTCATTTACAAAACACGTTACACTATATTAATTTTCAACAATGCTTCCAACCCCTGGCACTCATGTCGGGTGGGGTGGGTGTGGGTGTGTGGCGGCACCCATACAACCACTACATGTGCCATAATTATCACGTTATTAATCAGTTATAGTCTCAAGACTTGTCACGCCTTCGCATTGAACTGGTTTTCCAGTAGTTTTGGTGAAAGTTATGGCATTTGTAGCGCTCGAGCTCTCGGGCGGTGGTGTCCACCACATCGTGCTTCACGCCGGACACAGACAGTTGCGCCCTCACAAAGTCGGTGTCCACGTCCACCAGTAAGTAACAGTCGTCGTACCGGTGCTCGCAGTTGTCGTCGATGGCCGGGGAATCGCTGTCATCACTACTTGTGGTACCACTTCTCTGGCCATCGCTTTCGCCGTCCGTTACGTCGACTTTGAAACACAGATAACTGTCGTATCGGTGAATGTCGTGCACTGAGACCAACTCGACGGCGCGCACAGCGGCCGCGCTGGCAATCAATCGCCGATAACTGTCCAAACGCTGGCCATTGGTGGCCAACAGCACAGTCTTCTCGCGGAGTAGACTCTTTGGCAATTTGTACGTCTGTCGCAGCGAACGGATCTGTTGAATGACCGCCTCTACGGTACGCATATCGTCGCCGACCGCGTAATCAAACGCTTTCATCCACTGGTCGGCGGTGCCGTCCGGATAGCGCTCGTCAACGATACTGTTGTAGTCGAGCGCTCGGCCATCGGTGGCCAACAGTCGGCGCATGTGTTGCCACAGGTTCTCCGTAATGAACGGCATGAATGGGTGTAGCGCTCGGAGGGCTGTGCGGACACATACGACAAACACGTTGAGCGAACAGTTCCGGGCGGTGATTGTCTGGTCAGCGCAGGTGGCGGCGCTTTGTTGGTCATCAGTGGGTCGGAGGACTGTCTTCATGTGCTCGACGTATACGTCGCAGAGCTGGTGGTGCCAGAAGTGGTTGAGCCGATGGGCGGCCACTGACAGGTCGTACGCTTGTATGCATTGGTCGGCGCTCTGAACGGCGGCCACCAGTTCCGAGAGTATCCAGCGGTCGGTCGGCGTTAAGTACGGCATTAACTGATAGTGAAATACAAAATACAAGTTATTTAAAACAATTGTAAATTCAATGAATCTGTATTTGATTACACTATAGAAGTTCATAATAAAAGAGTTAATAGTAAAGGAGTTCACACTATAGGAGTTCACACACAGAGTATTAAACTTACGGTCAAAATATCGGTTTCGCTGAAACTCTGGTCAACATTGGCGGCGAAGAAGCGCACCGTTTGGTGCAGTTTATTGCAAAAGTTACGACACATAACCACTTGTTTGGCATCGAAAGCCACGCTCTCCTCTTTGAATCGGGTCTCCAACAGGTGTAGCCTCAGTGCGTCCGCACCGCACGCCAGCACACCCTTCGGGAACCGTTTGGCCAACTCGTCGAGCCCTACGGCCAACTCTTTGTCGGACAGCAAGCCCTGGTCGTAGGCGCGCCAGCACTTGGCTTTCAGCGCGTCCAACGAGACGCCGTCGATTACGTCCGACGGGTCGATGACATTGCCCCGCGATTTGGACATTTTGCGACCGTCGCTGTCGGCGACCATACCGTGCAGTAGTACTCGACGGAACGGCAACCGTCCGGTCAGCGAGAGCGACATTATGACCATACGGGCGACCCAGAAGAATATGATGTCGCGACCCGTTTCCATGAGTGATAGTGGGAAGTGTTGGTCGTTGTCGGCGGTCGGATCGCGTTGTGGCCAACCGTTAACACTGAGCGGCAGCAGCGCTGCAGAGAACCACGTGTCTAACACATCCGTGTCCTGTCGTACCTGTATATCGGCTGATGGGTGTCTACGGCGAGCGATGACTAGGGCTTCGCCGGCACTGTATATAGAGTTTGCATAAAAACATTAATTCTTGAGAGAGAGAGAGAGAGAGAGAGAGAGAGAGAGATTAGCCTTAAATTGGTTGAGATTATCTCTGGCTGAGTACACCTATTCAGTGACAGCGCCTGTATGTATGGGAGTGTGTGAGTGGTAAGAGTGAGAGAGAGAGAGAGAGAGAGAGAGAGAGAGTTGCAAACCCCCTCCCATTAGCGCATAATAGTAAATGTATTTGAAAAGGGGGTTCAGGCGTCTAGTTTCAGGACAATCTCACACAACACACAAACAAAAGTAAAACATTAAAGTTTCAAATGGTTTTTCACGTAACAAAAGAGTGTGTCATTGTATGTGTGTTTTTGAAGGACCGGTACGTTTCACCGATCGCTCAAACGTCCGGTGCGATCGATCACTCACTCTCTCAATATATCGCTTTTGGCAAACTTTTATTGTTAGACATAAAAGTTGTCTCACAATATGGTTATATCAATTTTCTTATAAGTTATTTATTTAATTATATAGTTCTGTAAATAATGATCACAAAGTTTGTAATTATTTATCACATGGCTATTGTAATGATATGTTGCTTGTTAATTGATAATGTTTGCGGCAAATGGTGGTAAGTTTAATGTATCTGATTTAGAGCGTTTAATATGATCCTGATAATTAATTACCATAAAATAACCCATAGGTTATTGAGTCAGTACAACATGTCTGCCGTTGACGAGCCGTATATAATCTGCGACCACATCCCAGGTCTGGATCGGACCCAACGACACTTCTGTCGACGGCACCCGACGGTCATACACGCGATCGCCTCTGGGGTACGGCTAGCTATTGGCGAGTGTCAGCACCGGTTCCGTCACCACCGCTGGAATTGCAGCACAAACCCGAGGGATGTGACACTGTTTGGCCGCCACGTGCTGTCCGGTATGAACTCACATGAATAATTGTTATTTATAACAAAAGTATCCTGTATTAATATTTCTGTACAAAATGTGATGACAGCCCTGAGCCGCGAGACAGCATTCATATACGCCATTACCAGCGCCGGTGTTGCGCACTCAATCACCCGGTGGTGCAGCGCCGGCCTACTGGCCAACTGCGCGTGCGATCCTACTCGAGTGGGCGGCCATCGGGCGCGCGACCCTTCCGGACAGTTTACGTGGGGCGGGTGTTCTCAATACGTCCGGTACGGCACGGTATTCGCCCGCCAGTTCATTGACCGACAAGACAGGCGGGTCAGGGACGCCAACGCGTTGATGAATTTGCATAATAATCATGTGGGACGACAGGTATACAAACACACACACATATCCTAGACATACTGTACATGGGTGCTGAGCAATGTTTATAATTGATCATGGTTGGTTGGTTTGTTTGTTTAGATGGTGGTCAAAACCGTGCGACTAGTGTGCAAGTGTCACGGAGTGAGCGCCTCGTGTCTGGCGCGCACGTGTTGGCGCACTGTCGGTGATTTTAGAGCAGTTAGTCGGGCTTTGATGGCCAGGTATACGAGCGCACGGCGTGTGAATGTACTGCAGACAAGGGATAGGATTCATGGCCTGAGAAAAACTCGTGGCACAAGGCGTTGGAGGGCCGCGACTGCACAGCAAACAAACAATCAGTTAATATATTTTGATCCGTCGCCCGACTATTGCAATGTTGGTCATAAATATGGTAATTATTAGTAACTCTACAGTATAATAATCAATAAATACAGTATATTATAAATGTTTAACTTTAATAGCGTTTAGCGGCACAGAGGGCCGGGTATGCAACCGCACGGCAACTGCCGGCGCGTCCGACTCGTGCGATATCATGTGCTGCGGCAGCGGATACCGTACCCGACGGCTAACCGTGCGATACGAGTGCGGCTGTAGGTTCTACTGGTGCTGTCGTGTCAAGTGTCTGGTAATCAATAGATTTTTATATTTTTAAATTAAATTTGAAATTGAATTTAAACATTAAGGTTTTTTATGATATGTTTAACACGGAATTAATTTTGTTTCATATTACCTAGGAGTGTAAGAAAACATTAACAATTAATACGTGCAAAAGTGGCTGAACACACACAACTGATCCTGGTCGATATTTCTGATTGCTAATTTCTAGTCAATTAAATTTACTCATAAATAACATACAGTAAACATATATTAATTTATATAATTTATTCAGAATAATATAAATATTTTTAATACATATTTTTTTTAAAATTTAATTGGATTTTTACTGATACATACATTTGCTGTGAAAATATTTTATTTGGTTGGATTTACCTTATTCACAAATATTTTACAAACTAGTTAATCTAATGTATATGTAAATCTATTTGTATTGTATTGTGTGTATTATTAACCAAAATCATAACTAAAAAACAAATTTAGAGACTTGTTATGTGTTGTGCGCTCTTCTCGTCGCTCTTAGTTATACGCCTTTTGCTGTGAAGTCTGTGCTAAACAAAAAACACAATACAATTAATTACCACGTATTGATCATTATAAATTTCATTGTACAAAACTACAAAATTAAACGAGATAACAAATTATAATACCATGTAACAATATAAATATAATTATACTTTACAAGACTAATGAAAGTTAAATTCAAAAAATAAGACATGAAAGGACACAAACCGGCATCGATTGCGGGAACAACTCTTACGGCAACCATTGATACGCTTATGAAAGTCGCGGCGCGACTGATAGAGATAGCGCTTATAACGGCACAGACGGTCGCAATTGTCGGCGCACTCGCGTATCTGTACGGCACGGGCTTTGCCGATGAGCGGCGGCGCCGGCGGGCAGTCTGTTGGGAAAGGCGGCGCCAAACCCGGACTGACAGCCATTGCCGTGATGTTGGTCTCAGTGGCCGACACATCAGTGGTGTTACAATCGGTGGTGTCATTGCCGGAGTCGATGTCCAGATCGGCGATTATAATGGCCGCAGTATTATCCATGGGTGTAGTGGCGGTACTATTGATAGCCCGGGTGCTAATCATGGACTGGTTGTACACAAACCCCAATATGATAATACTGACCGGGAGTAAAGTGTTATTAATTGAACGATAAATGCTCATGATGATACTGTGTTCACGAATATTTAATAGACATATTCAGTCTGAAGTGTGTCTTACAAATAAAAACAAAGTATTGGATATAATCAGTAAACTATACAAAATATGTTTTGCTCAATACGTGACATAACATTGTTTTTTACACAATTTCTTACATGTAATTAACGATTCATTTAATGTTTCGCTTCATTTGTTATTAACATTGGTTTAATTTTGTTGTTTTTGCATTTATTTGAAAATGTTACTGCTTTGCATGATAATAGTAGGATTAGCTGATTGTAATATGAGATCTTGATGCTTTACTGTAATAATCCATAAATCATTGACACATTTCATGATCAATAAATTATTCAAAAATATATGGTTTTAAAAAGAAAATTATTTTTATTGAGTTTATTTAACCAAAGCATTGTATCAATGGGATATATCGATCCCAGTGAGTTAAAACTTATGGCTAAAATCAGGTATTAAAGTCAGTGCTAAAAAATTCCAGCTATTCCTCAACCAAACATTTGGGTAGGTTTTGGATTAATCAAAATTTCATTTGCATATCTGGTGTCCGAGCAGTGATTATTCAAAGAGAGGTCACTTTTCAAAAACGCCCACGATATCAAACGTTTAACTTTTTAAACCTATAACATTTCAGTGCATTTCGCAAAAACACTAGCGCCGCCACATATCAGTTACCCATTTCTCACACTATTTCACGACTTCCCTGTATGAACTTGTGGACAACACATTTCAGCTGTTGCGAGATTCAATACATAGATAGCGCGCGCATCGAGACTTACATCAATTGTATGCATCACAAAAAATATCCCAAATGTTAATACAGTATTCTATGCTTTTGCTTAGTGCTATGAGTAAAGTGTATGTGTTTGTTGAGTGTATGTGTATGTGACATGCGCTGTATTTTGATTTTTGCTGTTTGTACTGATTTACCTGAACATAAATTATGTAGTATTTATCTTTGACCCCATATTTCTATTTAAATAGAAATATGGGGTTATAGCTAAACGTCATTTACATGTGTATATACATTTCTATCAATTAAAGTGAGAGCACATGTAAACAACAATCTAATAACAGTGTCCTTTTAATTGTGATTTAAAATGAGCCGCAAAACTGTGTTAAGTCGACAACAACTCGAAGACATGCTGAATGTCAACAGCGCTGATGACAATACAAGCGGTGAATAGATCGATGAAATACAAGAGTCATCACATGTATCAGACACTGAGCAAAGCGCTGAAGAGCTATGCGATGATAATTACAATGACTTTCAAACATCTGATATGTCATCTCATACATCAATTATCACATCGAGTAAAACCAAACCTAATTTTGAGAGAAAAATGTGTACCAAAAATAAGTAAAGAACGCGCCGATAATAACTACACTCTATATGTAATAAATAATAACTGAATTTAATGTAAATTATATTAATTAGCCGTTTGATTTGTTTTCAATGATTTTCTGTATTTAATTAGAGATAAATCCAATATTTTTCATAAGAAATAAAACGTATTTTAAATGATTAAAAACTTGTATAATTCTTAAATGATTTGAATAAAACTTTTACTTAAAAATAACATCTTTTAATTAGACACAAAAAGTAATACAAATAAATAC